GTTCAGCCGCCCCCGCCCATTGCTCCCTCCTTCCCCCTCCTCCTCCACCTTCACGTCGGCCTCTGCATTACTACCCACGCCCTGGCTGCTCCCGCGACCGCCGTCGCCGGTCCCATTCACGCCGTGGCCGCCGCCGCCGCCGTGCCTAGCGGGCGGCGCCGACGGCGGCGTCGGTGGCGGCTCGCCGTAATCGCTGACCTCGATGTCCAGCGCCTGGATCGTGTCCTGGCGGCAGATTGCCCACACTCGGCAGCGCCGGAGGTTTCTCGGAGACTGCTCCCGCCGCTGCTGCTGCTGCTGCTGCTGCTGCTGCTGCTGCTGCTGCCCTCTATTGCCGTGCCGACGCTGAAATGGCTGCGGCGGTGGCGGCGGTGGCGGCAGCGGCGGTGGCGGTGGCGGCGACGGCGGCGACGCGAAGCGGCTGCGGCCGTTGCCCAGCATGCGGCCGCCGCTGCCGCCGTAGTAGGCCGCTCCCGCTCCCACTCTCGCCGCCGCCGCCGCCGCCGCCGCCGCGCCGGCCGCCTGCCAGTGTTCGTTGGACCAGTGTCGATCGCTGCTGCCGCTGCTACCGTTGCCGACCATGAGGGCGGCGGCGGCGGCGGCGGCGGCGGTAGCGGCGGCTGACGCGTCTTCGTAGAGCGGGGTCGGGGGGAGGCGTTGGGGTGGCGGATGGGGCGGCGCGGCCACCACGATGCCGGTGATGCGGGTGCTGCAGTCCCAAACGGAGAGCACGATCCCGCCAAGGCTCCAGACCACCAGTTTCCTGGGGGGGGGAGGGGAAGTGTTCAAAAAGAGAGCCGGGTCAATGGCGACTGCGGTAACGCGCGGAGGGGGCCCGGCTATCAGTGTCTACAACAGCAGAGTGGTAGGACAGGTTCTCAGGCGGGCGAGGTACGCGACAACATGTCCAAAGGAATGGCGTGTGACGGACATGCTTGCGGTTCAGGGTTCATGTGGTACGGGGGCGGATTTGGAGACTGCAGCGGGTTGGCCAGTGACCAACGGTTGGCGTCCGCGTCAGTGGGACCGAAACGACCGTTGGAAGAACCTACCAAACAGGAGACGGTTTTCTTAACTTCAAGATAACAACAAGAGGGCAAGCGCGCCCGGTATGTGAAGACAACAACAGACACATCTCAAGAGCGACGAGCTAAAAAAGAGCGAGCGGCCTACATAACCGACCAATTGCCTTCGTGGGGACATTTTAGGTTGGTTCTCGCAAAGGTTACGGGGTTGGTTGGGTTAGGGGTAAGGACTACGACTCCCCCCCTCTCTATTTCACACATACGTAGCATACAGTAACGCTCAATATCCTTGCGAAGTGGATCCCGACCCAAACCCTACAACCCCAACCGACCGACCGACCTGTCAAGCCCTGCCGAAACGAAGCCGCGGCCATCTCTCAGCCAAGCCACCTCTGTGACATCCTCCGTGTGCTCGCCGCCGTAGCATCTAGCCTCAGACCCCAACGCCGCGTCCCAGCGAGTCACCTCCGAGGAACCGCCGCAGGTCAGCAGCCACCGATCGTCCGGGCTCCAAGCCAGGACCTGCGGGGCGCCGTCTCGCACCTGTAGATGGTAGTTGACGGCGGGGATAGCGCATGTGTATACATCGAACGCTTGTTTTACGAGTCTCGCACCTATCATGGTTGGAGGAAACAAAACCAGGGATGACACAATACACATCGAATATTTTCAGAGTCTCGCACCTAGATTGGTTGGCGAACATAAAACAGGGATGGCATCTATATAATCGAATGTTTTCAGAGTTTCGCACCAATAATCGCTGGCGAAAGCAAAGCCAAGGGTCACAAACAATCATGTTTACAAAGTTCTCGCGCCTATTTGACACCCGCAATAAAACAAGCAGATATTTACGACTTACATGGATGGTATATAACTCGCGCGCCTACTTGACAAGGACAAATCCAGCTACAGTAACGCCGATGTTCTACAACTCTCGCACATACCTCAGCAAACACACACCGGAGATATGACATCGATGTTTTACAAGCGAGCTCTAAACAAAGCCGAGAAAATGCAGCCGGATGATTCGGGATGCATTACGCGTTGTTTCCGACGGCACCGTCGGCACAAAAAAAAACGTCTTTTATTCCGGTCAATCGCAGGGTACGACAAGCATCTCAAGAACCAAAGGCGTAGGCAACCAAAGCGGCCACGACCGAGCAGTAGCCTTCGAAGGGTTTTTCTACCATGTTAGTAAACATGTTGGATAAAGCATGCAATGGGGGAAGTTGGGTTAGGGTAAGGGCTAGGGAGTACGGTCTGCGTACCCCCTCCCTGTTCTATTTCCTCATAATTTATTAGTTTCGCGAAGGCTGTCTCGAGGGAGACGCGGTCACAAGTACGGGCAACAAGCCGGAGAGACCCCCAAAACAAGATGCGTAACACAAGGGCACAGCGAGCGCACCTGAATACGCTGGTGAAGAGCGATCGAACAAGTCCCCCCCCTCCCCCCCCCCCCCCCCCCCCCCCCCCCCCCCCCCCCCCCCCCCCCCCCCCCCCCCCCCCCCCCCCCCCCCCCCCCCCCNTCCCACAGGATGAGCACGGCGTCTGCCGAGGAGGTCGCGAGCATGCGGCCTCCGTTGGAAAACCTGCAGCACCACACCTCGTCGGTGTGGTCTTCTAGGATGTGCGTCGACACCTTCAACAACGGTTGCGGACGTGTAGGGAGCGCCAAGGATGAGGTTGAGGACGGATCAGGTCGAGGAGATTGAATAACAACAAAAGGGTTTTGATTCGATATCAGGGTGGACGAGCGTGGACAACAACATTGTTTTGGTTCGACATCCACGGAAAAAAAAAAAAGAAAGCCGAAAGAGTGAGAGGTCATGAATATGAAGAAACCATCCATCCCCTTCGGCGGTGGTGTTGTCTCAAACGGGTAGTGCTCTTTCTGGACTGCATGCACATTTTCGAAAATATATAAGAATGCCACATCCAAGTATACTCAAGCATACTTGAAGTATGGCTGCCCGGGTGATGGCTGTTATGCTGCATGCACCGGGTGGGCATCTGCTCAACACACTGCTGCTGCTGCTGCTGCTACTGATCTTAACGCCGCTGGCACAGACGGGGACACACGACACCTGCGGGAGCATCTTCAGCTGGCAGGAGTGGTCCTCAGTCAGGTCCATCTTTTCCGCGGCGTTGTGGTAGATGCACTTGGTCTTCTGCAGCGTCAGCGCCTGCCCGAATCGTCATTCAAACCACATATTTTTTTTTTCAACCGATACACCAACGAGCGGTCAAACAATTAGAAATACCGGAGAGAGTTGGGTCGCGCTTCACGACGGGGTGGTAAGAGGGGGGCGGGGTGCTCTCACAAGCAACATTGTGGAGGCAGTGATTTTTGAGCATCCGTTGGAGAGGAGGTAGATAGTGGTAGGCGCCGCATACCTACAGAGGGGG